TAAAAGCAAGCATTCTTTCACCGTGTCCATTGGGAGTTGGCAAGATTGCTTTTTGCATTGAAAGGTTGGAAGATAAAGCCTCTTTACTAATACTAGGGTGCTCACTGAACCATCTAAAAATAGTGTTCTAGGGGGCAGATCTAGGATAGACATATCTGGGTGCAGCTAGCACCACTCCGTCTACGGCGGAGGGCGGATCTGCTAGAGTGCGTGGAGTTTAGCGTGCTCGCATGGGAGGCTGGCAGCATTGTGTGGGCGAGTGGCTATATAACTAGCTAGTGTATAGTGTAGAGAGGGAGCACTCGTACAAATTGCTTACTCTTGACTCTTATATATAGGCGTGAGGCAGCCAAAAGTGCCGACCTTGAGCCTGTACAATGCAGAAGGGATATATCTTCAAGTGGGAAGACTGCTAGGCTAGAGCCTTATAAACATAAGCAAAAGTAAAACTAAAAAGTGTAATAACACTCTATCCTATAACTAGACCCACCTCTGTTGATAAAACGCTCTGCCTATGAAGTTGCCCGCCTAGTAAGAAGCTGTTGATGAAGAGCTAAAGAAAAAAAGAGAGTAACAGTAACAAGGTATGATATTATACCGTAGTATGCATGAATTGATATTTACTTTATCCTTTATCCTTTATCCCATCAGAGTTACAATGTTGGAGAAGTGAAAAATTAAAGAGAGACCACTAATAGGACAGTTTAACTGACAAAGACGTTACAATTGACTGGTACATAGGGACATCTACAGGACTGTGGAAACCAGGGAAGACGGCCAAAACTGTGACATATACGGAGACCATTGACACTAACAAATTTTTTACAGACAGTGTCAAAGAGCAAAAGATGACCACGAAAACAATACAGGAGTTAAAAGCAATATATTGATCACAAATTCATTGTAAAAATTCATTGTACATATTTAAAATGAAATTAATGATATAAAATTCAAGTATGAAACTAATGAAAAGTGTGGGCTTTTAAGGTATAACATTTTTATGGGAAAATAATTACGTTTTCATAGACTAACTTCCATGAAATATTCATTGGAAATTCATACATTTTACAGGGGTACATTCATGTCAATATTGCATGAAATTATAACATCCTTATGGAAATGTTGTACATATTCCATGGCTAATTCATCATCAATGAAATGGTTAAAAATTCACGCACTTGAATTGGGGAAAAGTCTGTGAATCAGTCCATTCTTTTAATGAATAAGCTATATAAAACTCCCTATCATAGCCCCATACCAAATAAAAAGAAAGGGGACAAGATAGGGATGGGATACATGAAACATGGTTAATGAACAGATTTGAGTACGCTGACACCCCCAACCCCATCACACAATCCCTATTGTGTATTTATACTGCCACATCCCTTTTAAACTCCACTTGGACTCTATAGGGTGTTGGTTACTCAGTAGTGTATTGTAAGTTCTGATGGTGAATGTTTAATACTTCACCTAGGTAACAATATAGGGATTGTGTGATTGGGTTGGGGGTGCCAGCGTACTGAAATCTGTTCATTAACCATGCTTCATGTATCCCATCCCTCCCTCTATATGCCTCTTTTTTTAAATTCGCAGGATTTTTAATGTACTTGTCTCCACTCATTTTATAATACTACTACGTATTATCTCTGTGGAAGGGGGCAAGCCCTATAAAAATGTTAATAGAGAAAAATGCCTGTTGTCGTCACGGAAAATGATATGCATACCATGTTTCCATCTCCATGCCGTTGCAAGTTTGAGGAGTGAAGAAGTAATTTTAAAGAAAAGGCTATTGTTGTGGTCGTCATAGAAACGATGTAATACATATGTGCATCAAGTTTCACCACTACAGTTAGCAAGTTTGAGGAGTGAAGAAGTAATTTTTGCCGAGTGCGTTAGCGTGAGGCAACTACTCCGGGCAACTACTCCGGGTCGTATTCTCGCGATATGCGTACGTACGTGTCGTCACGCTTAAGAATGTCATAGTCACGCTTAGGAATGTCACTTCCGTCATTCGTAGGAAGTCTAGCTTCCGCCGTGCGCGCAGATTCGTAGGAAGTCTGACTTCGCGCGCAGCAGCGGGCACGAGCGGCCTCAGTCGGAATGTGTACGCATTGGCTGGCAGGCGGGCAGAGGGAAAATATGCGTCTGACGAGCATTCCTAGTAAAGAAAGGTGTGCCTGAGGCTATTTGTTGTTGTAGTTGTCATGGAAACGATGTTGTAATACACATGCGCACCAAGTTTCACTCTATAGTTAGCAACTTTGAGGAGTGAAGAAGTAATTTATAGAAAGTGACTGAGGCTATTTGTTGTTGTGGTTGTCCTGGAAACGATGTATACACACGTGCGTACCAAGTTATCTCTATGCATGGTACTGTAGCGAGTTTGTGGAGTCAAGAAGAAAAGTGTCATGAGGCTATTTGTTGTTGATACATGCGCACCAAGTTTCACCTCCATGCGTGCACAGTTAGCAAGTTTGAGGAGTGAAGAAAGAATAGTGCCTGAGGCTTTTTCACCCCATATGCGGTCGTCATGGAAACATGGATTGTCACGGAAAGGATATATAAGGCATACATAAGTAAATTAAAAACTAACAAAAGAGGTATATAGGGGATGGTATAAAAAGAAAGGGAGACAAGATAGGGATGGGATACATGAAACATGGTTAATGAACAGATTTGAGTACACTGACACCCCCAACCCATCACACAATCCCTATATTGTTGCCTGGTGTGCTACTCTTATAGGGGCTAAATGCTACTAAAAGCAAGCATTCTTTCACCGTGTCCCTGTGTTTTTAGTAACATTTATACTACCACATTCCCTTTTAAGGTTACTCAGTAGTGTATTGTAAGTTCTGAGTATTGTATTGGTGAATGTTTAATACTTCACCTAGGCAACAATATAGGGATTGTTGTGATGAGGTTGGGGGTGTCAGCGTACTCAATCTGTTCATTAACCATGTTTCATGTATCCCATCCCTATCTTGTCTCCCTTTCTTTTTATACCATCCCTATATGCCTTATACCATCCCTATAATTTACTTGTCTCCACTCATTTTATATACTAAAAGTGCCTGAGGCTATTTGTTGTGGTCGTCATGGAAACGATGTAATATACATGCGCACTAAGTTAACTTCCATGCGTGCTACAGTTAGCAATTTGAGGAATGAAGAAGTAATTTTAAAGAAAGTGCCTGAGACTTTTTCAAACAAAATGCAGTGGTCATGGAAACATTGTAATGGGAATGGGAATGATATAATAGGCATACATACCAAGTTTCATCTCTATGCGTGCTACCGTTGGAAAGTTCCAGGAGTGGAGAAGAAAAGTGCCTGAGGGTAGTTGTTGTTGTTTACAAACATGTATTGTTGTGATTTTGATGTTGGTAATTGAATACATTATGTCTACAAAGTTTCGTTCACATAGCTCCTATATACCATTTGTTAGTTATACTGACACATGTGATCCTATTATAATGGGGCTATTTGTTTGTTGTTTACAAAGAAATAAGTATGACCAGTCCCTTCGGGTGAAGGATATTGGATATCTAAAACTCATTACTTTATGTTATTTAGTTTGAGTTATGGGTGTTGAATCTGAAGAAGAAGAAGAAAATGAACAAAACTCCCTATCATAGCCCCATACATCTATGATGCTAGGTACCATGCCAATCCCTATATACTAAGTACTACCGTACTTAGTGATGTGTCCTACCATTGGAAAGTTTGAAAAGTGAAGAAGTAATTTAAGATTCACCCTTATTGCGTGGGCGTCGATATTTTAGTTATTTAGCATGGGTAAACGCTCGTGAATTATAGTGAATTTTGGTACCTGTCTCAGATTTTCACTCCTTGTTTTACAAGCTCATTAGCATATTCATATTACTCCTCAATACATTCTCTATGGGAGAGAAAAACCAGTGCGCGACTTCACCGGAGCAAACGGTTCGTCGCAATTATGCGCTGTAGCGCCTCCTACGATACGCGCAGGCGTATTGAAGCCCAGTTTCAAAAATAGGTGTGGCCAAGTTTTGAGTACATATTACGTATTCGTTGAACTTTGACATGCAGGGGCTACGCCCATTGTTTCGAATAGGTCTCCGCGTACCGTAGGAGGCGGAGAAAACCACTGCGCATAGTAGAGACGGACTGATCGCTCCCGGTCAAGTCGTGCAGTGGTTTTCTCTCCCATAGAGAATGTATTGAGTAATATGAATATGCTAATGAGCTTGTAAAACAAGGAGTGAAAAATCCGAGACAGGTACCAAAATTCACTATAATCGACGAGCGTTTTAGCCCAACTAAAATATCGACGCCCACGCAATAAGGGCATATCTTAAAGAAAAGTGCCTGAGGCTATTTGTTGTTGTTTTTGTTTACAAATGACCAGTCTCTTCGGTTGACGTATATCTACATTCTTACGAAATTTCATTACTGTTGAATCTGAAGAAGAAGGAAAAGGAGAAGATGAACAAAACTCCCTATCATAGCCAAAGACATCTATGATGCTAGGTACCATGTCAATTGTACTTAGTGATAGGGATTGACTAGCATCATAGATGTATGGGGGGAGTTGATCCAGGTGTACTTGTCAGCCGTCCTTTGACCACATTTAGCAAAGCATTGGAGTCGCTTCGCAAGCATGCCGACAAAGACCATCACAAGACAGCTGTTATTAGATCTGAAGTGTTTCTCAATACGAGATGACACATCAACAGCCAGATATTCGCAGTGTCACCTGAACCAAGCTATGGCAAGCATAATCTCCTTGAATCGCCAGAAGCTCCATTCGATTTTCAAGACAATAGTGTTCTGTGGACGACAGAATATTGCTCTACGTGGTCACAGAGATGATGCCACTGATATCGAGAGAGATGTTGATGACTTAGAGAACCATGGCAATCTCCGAACTTTTGACGCGGGGTGACAACGTCCTTGCTGAACATTTAGCCACAGCTTCACGAAATGCAACATACACGTCAAAAACGATACAGAATGAGATGATCAACATTGTTGCCGACCAAGTCCGAAGCAAGATAGTAGGAAAGATCGAAGCAGCCAAGTGGTACACAGTGATATCAGACGAGGTTACTGATGCGTCCAATAAGGAGAAATTGAGTCTGGTCTTGAGGTATGTAGATTCGGATACTCTCTTGGTTCGAGAAGACCTAATAGGGTTTGTTGAATACAACACTGGTATCACTGGTCGTGAGTTAGCTAACAAGATTACTAGCAGCTTGCAGGCTTTCGGTTTAGATCTTTCTAATCTGCGAGGCCAGGCTTATGACGGAGCTGGTAACATGGCAGGTTCAGTAAATGGCACAGCAGCTCTCATCTCTGCACAGTACCCACTTGCCCTGTATCTTCACTGTCTCACACTGTCTGAATCTAGCTGTTGTCAAGTCATTGCAGATTACCAGTGTTCGAAATATGATGGGTGTAATCGAAAGGGTCTACCAATTTTTTCAGTTCATCCAAAGAGACAGACAGCTCTCGAGAAGGCCATATCCGATACTCAACCTACATCAAAGGTTCACAAGTTGAAGGATATGTGCCGTACCAGATGGGTCCAACGTGTCGATGCGATCCAAGTGTTCAAATCCCTCCACCAATGTACGGTAACCTGTATGGAGGGCATTTGCAATGATGGCCCCAGGTTATGGAGTCCAGACGCACTTACTGATGCTAGGAGTCACAACTAGCCCTGACTACCACAGATTTTATTTGTGCAGCAGTTATTACAAATGCCTGCCTAAAGTACCTTCAGGCTTTGACTTCAAGTCTTCAAGCAGAAACCAAAGATATTGTAACCGCTGTGTGATACTGTCACAGCAACTCTACAAAGTGTCAGAGAAAACATAGACACTCACCATTCCCAGTGGTTTTCTACTGTGGAGAAGATGTGTGCAGATGTAGGCACCAAGCCTTCTTTGCCTCGGAGATGCGGTCGACAAATCCATCGTAGCAATGTTCCCGCTGACACTCCCTCAGAGTACTACTGTTGTTCCGTATCGATCCCCATGCTCAATCACTTGCTATCTCAGATGAAGACACGCTTCACCACCCACCAGAAGACTGCTCTGCTAGGGCTTTGCATAGTACCATCCGTTATGGCAACCCTCCCAGATGAAGAGTGTACTAGCAAGGTCAGTCAACTTGCTGACATGTACCAGGACGATCGTCCTTCACCTTATAACGACGTCCGCAGTGAGCTACACTGCTGGCAAATGAAGTGGCAGCATCATCTCAGGGAGCATGGTCAGACAAGCCTACCATTAAGCCCTACAACAACAATCAGGCATACCTCAGCAATGTACCCGAACATCAGAGCCTTGATCAGCATATTATGTACTCTTCCAGTGACCAGTTGCTCGACAGAAAGGTCTTTCAGTGGACTCAAGCGTATTAAGACTGCTTTTTAGATCGTCAATGACCGCTCAGCGATTGTCCGGACTTACTCTCCTTCACGTTCATCGTGACCTTCCAATTGACATTGCAGCAGCTGTAGACGAATTTTCCCGGCGTCACCCAAGAAGAATGCGGATGGTAGACATACTTAGCTCTAGTTCTGACTAACTTTTATCGTATTTTAATCACCATGTCATGTGTGTGGAAATGATGTCAAAAGTGGCTGTGGCGCAAAAAAAAATCGCCCCCGCTTACGTGCGCAGTCTAGTCTAAGCACCCCCCTACCGTCAATCCTGGATCCACCCCTGTAAAGTGAGGGGAACATCTTTTTTGGGGAGTGCTAGTTACAAAAACAAGCATAACAGGTTACAGTGGTAGCCTTTTCCCTCCTATGTGATGGTTACTCCCACGCGTAAAATCGCATAGAGCATGTGCGTGGGGAGGAGAAAGAAGGCCTGGTACTGGACCGTTGGACCGGACTGTTTGATGGACTAAAAGTTTAGGCGAATGCACTGTAATCCATAAGCACAACAGGTTCTCTTCGTGTTCTAGGCGACTGTGGAGGTGCCAGCACCAGGTAATTTAAAAGGCTAGGACTATGGGCTAGAGAGTTGATGTGCAAACAACCCGTGGACCGTCTGCGAAGGCGTCCGTGCATCAATGCTTTAGGCTATTTCTTTATCCATGGTTCCACGTACTCTTTACGTTGCTACAGGTGGCTGTAATATGGTGGATCGGTAGATGTAGCATTCACCTGGCCAACTCAAAAACCTAAATACATACGTCTTTACCTGGGGCAACACGTCGCGTGAGCTCAACCTCAATCCTACCACACACAGAGATAGCGCTAGCTCCACCCACCAGCATATCTACGTTAGGTATACTACAAGACCTCTGTAAGGAGCCTGCCGTCTGTCCAAAACACAAGCTGAACCCTCAGAGACGGTCGATCCACGGGTTGGTGGTAGCTCTCGTTCATTCACATAGTGCGGCTAGCTAGCTAGCCTGCAGGCCACTCTACAGTCATCCAGAACATGCAGGGAAGCTGTTGGCTTATGGTCCATACAATTACGTGCTTATGCCCCAGCTTTTAGTCCCACAGTCCAGTCCATCACAGTCCTCCATGGTCAAAAGTCCAGGTTTTACACCTACCCAGGCAGTCTGTGTCCGGCGATGTGATTCTACAGCACTGACTTCCGCCACACAGTATACATCTAGCTGCTACCAAGCCATAGCATAATAGAGCTTACGGTTATCTCCTCAAGAGTAGATAGTAACACAGCAAGAGTTAGACTAGCGTTACTGGCGAGATGACGCTGTATTAAAGGCGTATCGTGGACTCCTAGATAACACCTTCAGCCTCACTAAACATACTCCAAGTCCTCACTCTCCGCCATGTCACAGACTTGAAAAATGCCAGCAACAACCACGCAAAAGGAACCTTCTTCACTGATAAAAGATCAAGCGAAAACACGTGCCAAAAGGCATCACGTAGTTGTCAAATGTATATCACACGCACAAAAGGGCAACCCCAGCTGTCCACAGTGTCTTCTAAGAAAACCCTTTCAGCCACAGACGCCTATACTATGACCAACAATATGATAGGTGGATAGACTGATAAGGAAAAGAACGTGGAAATTAATGGATTTTGATTTCATGTAGGAAGAGAATGTAGTCAAATCAGAAGCAATCTCAAATCCACCACCATTAGATCAGCCGATGAGGTATGTTTCACACATAGTTCCATGCCCCTGAGGTTAGGTCAGCTTTTCTCTTACATTGTTATTGGAAAATGTTTCAAGAAGAAGGTGCTGACACATGTATATTATCCGAGCAGGAACATGTTGAAAGTATAGCAGGTAATGTTTAGCTGTCTATTGATACCTATTACGTTACTTAAAGAGGTGTTCAAGTTTGGGAGGAAGAAGATGTGAGATGATCTAAATCCAACATCTCAAGTATTGCTAACTCTAGTGCCTTAGTGCTTTGGATCTGCCAGTTTTTAGTTCTTATGCAGAGAAATCTGTCTGATGCTGCTATTGGCCTTTTTTATCTTTCTTCGCCATCTTTTTCAAATTATTGCATTTCATAAACTGACAAAAGCTTATATCGAGAGACCAGGTTTAAGTGTGGCTGTGAAAAGTGTTATACTACATACCAATATCCAAATGTGCTGAGAGAACTGGGAAACCTCGACTCTGCTTCAACAGAAACCTAAGTCATGGAAGGCCAGATGTGTTGAACTCGTAGGGGAGGCAAATACTCTATAGCGTACATCCGCTATTATCGCCCATCGAATCACGGCACCAAATAACGCATCTGCGGCGTAGCCGGACACAGGTACGCGAAGTACCACTTTATACGCATGAGCATCGAGTGGAGCAGGCCACGTGCTTTCTTTGATATCTGTCCAGTGCTCAGGCCGGGTAGTTCTGTGGTGATTTACAGGCAGAAGAAAAGTTCTGTCAACTAAACAGCTCGTCCTTTCTCAGGCGACAGCGCAGGATGCCATTACTGGCTCGCTATTTGCCAGTGAAAGGTACGTAACTGTGTACTAGCTATGCATACAGACCTGTGTATAATCTCTTAGCTAATACCATGCAGAATGGCACCGCTGAAGAAGAGAGTGCATTGGCAGGTATTTGCTTTATATGGCAGAGCATGGTTCCCACTCACGACGAATATGGCCAGGAGGGGCTCGCTTGGGTAGTTCGCTCCGTTCTGATACACATGGAGCGTCAATGAGGAAACAGGCCCAGGGGGAGGAATTTCCTTCCGTTTACTTTGCCACCATGAGCTCACACTTTGCACAGCTGACCAATCTTGAACGCAGTAGAGCAAATGCGCTGACGACGGATGTGGTGGACAACTATTCGGGTGCCTCAAGAACACGCATCTGGAACAGAATGCGTTCGTCAATGCGCCAAGGCAGCTGATCTTCAACGTGTGACGAGACCTTTTTGCCCCTCAACACCTCGTGTGAGAAGGTGACACAGGAAAAACCACACCCCGTTTTGGCGGAGTTTGACGGCACTTTTCCTGCATGCGGTCGACACTGTAATCAATCATCCTGTCCTTAGTTTCAGAACGTGAGAGCTCAGAGGATCAATGGACGATGAATCTTCGCCTGACGGCAGCAACTCCGCCAGCTCAGAATGCAAGGCTCATGATGGTCCTTTCTGTTTAGCATGTCCGACGATGGAACTAATGTGAGTGATTTTTCTTCTGGTAGTGAGACTAGTCCATGAGGAGTGCAACCCGATTATTCATGGTTAATTAATATAGCATATTATTGTAGCTAGTCAAGAGTTCCTGAGGACCTTTTTGTTGTAGTCATCATGTAAAAACACACCCAAGTATCACCTCCACAGTTTGAAGAGTGAGGAGTAGTAACAAAATCGCCTGAGGTTTTTTCAAACATATCGGTCGTCTAGAACATGTACTAAGCATACATACCAAGTTTTCATCTTCAAATATGTCACTGGTGACCAACTACAGTGGGTATGACTAACTTTGCATTATCAGTTCAAAGGTCATGCCACTGTGCTTGCTCCCCGTTATTACTCTGTGTGTGTAATGTTTGTGAGTTTCTGCATGTGCCCGAGTGAGCTGTTGCAAGGGGTTTCTCCACACGTGGGTATGTGTGTGTATGTATTGAGGGTGGGCGTTACGGTATGGTATGTGGTACTTATGACATACATACCTACCAGCATAACAGATCAAATTTGCCAGTTCTCAAAATGGACTAACTGCTGTTGGTAGGTATGCACAATTATAAACCTATGACAACCCTATTCACAACTGCTAGGACAAAGAAGCATACATGCAGGCCTTGGTCACTATTTTTCCACCTGCGAGTGACGACGCTGTAGGGCAGTACATTGTCTGCATGATGTGACACTGTCCTATGGTGTGGTCTCCTCGTGGTGTCATTCAGGGAGGAAGTTGCTAGTATTGTGTTCGCAACTTTCGGCTACAGAAGGCGTTTATACTGTGCTGTTTTCACGTTTGTTTGGTTTCATTTGTCTTCGCTGAGCACTTCTTTAGGGAGGAAACGAATGATCTTACTCAATGGCATACGACTTACTACAAAGGGACCCTGTCATGGGTGCGATATACGGGGCGTATGTAGGGTAACATAATACAAACCTGTTGTGGCTGTGTGAAGTAGAGGAGCCGGCATATGCAGGTGAATATAAGACACAGGTGTACACAGTGATAAGTATATACACCATACATTCCCGTCTTGTGGCCTGGAAACACATTTGAGTCTACAACCATAGGCAAGGAGGAA